CTTTACACAATATTGTGGACTGGAAAGATCCAATCAAGGCAATGATTTTTAAACAGGTCATGTTCTTGGTGAATTCAGAAGTTATTAAAATAGCTGGCATGAATGTTCTGGTTTGTATTGTATTGTCATTGCCTTGTTGTTTGTTTGAGGGGATGTGTCTAATTGCTGGTGTGGCTATAATTTCTGGTTCTTGGCAGGCTTCATTAAATGCAGGTGGTTTGGGTGATAAACTTGTGTTCGTTCCTCTCTTTGTTGGCACTGAGCAAAAACAAACCTGTCGTTGAACTTAAGAAGTCCCCTTTCTGTTTAGCGTTGAACTGAAAGATTAGCATTAGCCTAGCTCCGTTTGGGGCGCCATCCTTCCATTCCGAGGCCTAATGGAGCCTGCAACTCCGCCAAAGTATGGCCCCCTCCCAGACGTCCAACATACTGGATTTGGCTGAGACTGCGGAAGCACACCAACGTCCCACATTTCTTACAAAGTAATTGGACCACGCAAAGTTTTCTCTTCCCGTCAAGTATTAGTCAGGAGAAATGACCAAAAGGAGCCATCGCTTTTGTAAAGTTACATTTGGCATGTGAGTATTAATGTTACGGTGACTTAAACCTTGAGTTTGCCAAGAAACCAGGGGAGACTCCGGGTGATTGCCAAGAAATAGCCCGGCACATGAATCCTCATAAAGCCATTTGTTAATCAGGAAGTGAATTTTGTCGGATTTCGTTCACTTTTGAAGTAGCCAGGCTAGCTACTTCCTCTTGTTCCCAGTCTTTATGCTATGCTAAGCTACAATCCGCTGTCTGTGTAAGCATAAGTGAGAGTGAAAATCCGTCTTATCATTTAACTCTGTGTAATTATAACTTCTTTCCAAAGAGTTGAACTATCCCTCGAAGGTTGATTGAAAAAAAAAAAAAAATCGGATTCCAGGCATTTAAAACACGGACTGCAGACTAGCACACCTGTTCGGTATGGAAAGAGGTGACCTCTTTTAATCTTGCCTGCAGATGAAGTGATAAGGCATCAGGGGAGAAGGCAGTCTTTAAGAAGTCGTGAGGCAGGAGATTGATGTTGCCTCTGTGACAACTCGCCTTCAGACGAGGGGGGGGGGGGCAGGCAGACGTTTAGCTGCAGGTCTAAACTGAGACCCCTTCACTATGGCTGCTGCTGGCTTGAATCAATTCTATCTTTATCAGTCTCCCTCTTCTGTGTCCAGGAATCCTCCTCAGACCGCAGAGCGGCCAGGGGGGGGGGGAAACTGTTGTGTTTTCCAATAATGAAATGGAACACAGCAAAAAATAAGTTTAAAAAGGTGCCTGGTTGGTCTCCCTCAGCAGCGCAGCCCTCGTTGAATGGCTTGTCTGGTTTAAACAAAGTTCAGCCCACGCCTATGTCAATGGGGAGCAATTGAATGTGCTGCCTGTCGTGCGAGTGCAGGTATACATCGTCACCAGGAGGCGTCGTTACTTTCGATATGGCAAAACAAATTGCTCTAAAAAGAAACCTGCGCGTGAAAACATGCGAGATTCCGGACCCGGCAGCCGAAACGTCTGCTAAGTAGGAAGCGCCGTATAACCGAGGAGTCTGTTTCATTTTGAAACAACTCCCTATTACCATCCTAATGGCTGGTTGTGTGAGTGAGTTCCACCTCAGGCCCCGAGGCAAGTGGGGCCTGCTGCTGCTGCTGCTGCTGTACGATGATCCATCTGCATGGCAGAAACCATCCATCCAGTGTATAGCTACAGGCTGAAGGCCGGCCCATTGTGTGGGCTGAGCACTGTGACTGCTCCCTCTTGTACCTCCATAATGGGATTACATTAGCCAGGTTCTTCTGCTCCCTCTCCAGCTCCCTCCCTCCCTCTCTCTCTCTCTCTCTCTCTCTCATCACACACACTGGGGCTGTGAGCCCATGTGTGGATGACTGACTGTCCACTTGGCCACCTTCGGGTTTGCTCCCTGTTTACTTGCCCATGGCCCTGTGTAATGATGCAGGTTTCGCTCCCATTTCACAAACACGTTTTTACAGAGTTATGTTATTTTCACCTTTTCTGAAATTTACGGTTTTTACTTCATTTGTTTTCCCGTGTGTGTGTGTGCATGTGTGAGACGGCGGGAGCGGAAGGGCCGGAGAAAGACAGCCAAAGATAGAGAGAGACAGAGGGTTTTGTTTCGGGTTCTCCTCAAGGAGAGGCTGTCAAGTGTAAAATCTGTTTCAGAACCAACAATTGTGTTTTGTTGGGCTGCAGCAGCAGGGATAAGCTGTTAGTTGAAAACCAATTTGTTAATGTCCAACCGCTGTACTGGTTTTCCCTCAAGGACAAAGATTGATATTCAACATAACCTGCCAAGGCACCACTGAGGAAGGATATCGCGAGTGATGATACTCAAGAGGAATTATGCACGGACTCCAGATCTCAAGGACTAGAAACAGTGCCCCCCTCCTCGCCCCCCCTTCTGCCCTCCTTCTGCCCTCCTTCTTCCTCGTCTTTCTCGTAGTCCGTAGTTCATTAGCTTCACTTACACTTACATAGTCCCTTCCATCAAGAACCAAAAGTCATTATTTAAAAATCCGCTGTACTGTGCATCGCTTCTCAGCATCGCACAGACTCGACAGAACTTACCTCTATCTGCCTTTTTGCACGAGTTAAACACTAATTCATGTGGGATTGATTCAAAGGGTCGGGCTACCAGCCCACCAAAGCGAATATGGCGGTAAAATGAAAACGGGGATCAATGGCGTTTCACATCCCCGCTTCTCCGCGGACTGAACTTGTAATTCTCATGTTGAAGCTGCAGACGTCTCTCAGGTCTCACGCCGTCAGGCTCTGTGAGCCAGCCGCCAGGCACAGCGATACTCAGACGGGTCCCTGTCCTTTGGCTCAGTAACAGTGGGAAAGCGAACTCGGGCTGGACAGTCGTTGAATGAATCATTTCTGTGTCAAGCGACAACTCCAAAATGTTTTCATGTCAAGATATTGATCAAAATGTGCATTCAGTTTTTGTTGTCCTTGTTTAATCTATATTGCAGAGGTCTTCAACAGGGGGTCCGCGAATGTACTGCAGGGGGGTCGCGAAATGTTTGGTTGATAAGACAATTTTTTTTAAACAATTTTTTTCCCCACAAATGTAAATGTCTTCAGAATCAGAATTTTATTTATGGTCTTTAAATACACATTAACATGAATCCAACATATTGAAGCGAACGGATAAATTGATGGAGAAGACGTTATCTGTCAGTCCGCAACACACACATTCAGCTTCCCTCAGCAGCTCTCAAGCTGGGCACCGGTTCACTCACTGCTCCTTTCATGCGAATACGACAGTGCAGGCACCAGCCAATCAGATCGCGTTTATGCTCACGTCTGAAGAGCGTGAAGCTCAAAAATAAAAGATGGCGGACCAAACTCCGTAGAATATGGGGTCCCTGCTCCACCTCGCCATCAGTTTGGGGGACCTTGGCTTGAAAAACGTTGAAGACCTCTGCTATATTGTCTTTATTTCTGTATTTAAGAGATGCATTTTTTTTACACGTTCGTTGTTTTAAACAGCAATAAAGACACACAGAATTCCTGACTTGCTTTCTCCTTCTGAAACCCTCCACCTGTCTTTTATCTACCAACCGTATGCTGCAAATGAGAAGATGAAGTAACAGCAATATTTCAGCACAGCTCAGCCGCTCCCTTTGCACTCAGGGCGGCCTGCGGAGAGCGATTCCTTCCAGGCTCCAGTGTGCTGGAATGAGACGCCACTCACCATTAGTGCTGGCTGCTGGTGGATGGGCTTCAAATGTAAATACGGATCAGTCGTCAGCTTATTGTTCCACAAGATCCTCTTGCAATTTATTTCTCGCTGCTTGTGTGTTACTGCGGCATGCTGTGTTAAATATACCATTTCTCAACCTGAAATACCGGTCTTATTCATATATCAGCGCCCAGATGCAGTGTTCTGAGGCCCATATATAAACTGGTGATAGCACCTTCGCTGTATAGTGTCAGTTCAGCAGAGAAAGGTGTGTGTGTGTGTGTGTGTGTGTGTTGCAAGCTGACTAGTGGGTTAGGTCTGTCCAACGGCAGAAGGAGTGGGATCTGCTTTGACAGTGTGGTAGTTAGCCCATCTGTCTCTAATAAGCTGTGTGTGTGTGTGTGTGTGTGTGTGTGTGTGTGTGTGTGCTGCTGATGCAGGGTTCTACTTGCCACCAGGTGGTAAACCGTGCCCCAGTGCAGAGTTGTGGCGCTGGGCCTTGCAGGTCGCTCTAGTTTGCCAGCAAACTTAACTCTTCAATAGCGGCCTTCAAATGACTGCTTTAATGTATTTTGTCAAGCACTGCGTTCTGTAGAAATGAGCTGTCAATTTGTTAACACCTTATGTTCTCGCCTCCCCCCGTCTTTTTTCATTGACAATCATTAATTCACAAGTGATCCACCACAACATCCTCCACTACATGTGTGCACACATATCAATAGGAAGGTACCGACAAGGCCTATATTTTGAAAGCTTGTCATGTAATCCGCTACTAACCAGTCATCTTACAGACAGCGGTGTGAATTGGAAGCGGGGAAATAGTTCCCATCGGATTAATTATCCTTCCCCTGATCATCTGGATCTTTTTGCTGTGGATGGTATATTGTGTGTCGGATATGGATGGCTGGAAAAGCCCTGTCTGTTGGTCTTTCAGCTCCTCCTAGTAACGGCTCTCTGGGTATCCGCTTGGTGTGAATGTAGTTAAATGTGCAGATACTGTACATTTAGTTAAAAAACCCTGGAAGCGAACACCATGACAGTGAGGCACTGTTAGTACACCGATCTAACACATCTGTCTTTGAAAGCTGATCCTAACATAATTTGGTCTTGTGAGTGACCGTCTGTCTGTTTGTTTGTAATGTTTTAATCCCGCTGATTGTGAACTTTAAGGAATCCTGAAGCGACGATGCTGCCGTGGTTCTGTGTTGTGGTCTGCAGGAGTTCTGCCTGAAGCTAATGTGAGCTGTTTCCATTCCCTCTGCAGGGAACCTCGGCCGGGTTGACTACATCAGTGAGTTTGAGTTTGACCTCTTCATCCGCCCTGACACCTGCAACCCCCGCTTCAGAGTCTGGTTCAACTTCACAGTGGAGAATGTCCGCGAGACACAGGTCAGCACTGTTGCCCCATTGATCATAAAGCCGCCTTTCTCTCCCAATTCATTCCATCTCCTATAACACACACAGACTTCTACTTTAAGGGTGCTAAATTGGTATCTAGCAACTACTTACTCCAAGAATTGAGGCAGTCATTCATTTCCTACACATCTTGTCACAGCATTCAGGCTTGATTCTGCTCCCTGATTGGCCGACAGAGGCAGTCACGTGCCACAGAGATGCACTAAATGTGTGTTCTGTAGGTGTGGCTTTAGGAAGAGGGAGGCCTGTTTTTCCATTGGAATATACAGTAACTGTGCAGCATGAAGAAGAAAAAGTAAAACGGACATTACTGGCATCAGTTTTCTGCTGCAATTTAACTCCTTGACATAAAGTCTTGTGTCTTAGAAACGAAGCAAACCAATAAAATAAGAGCTCCAGTTTAGGGAGAGTGTGAAGACGGAAAACATTAGGACAGAAGGGCTAAGCTAGAAAGGGGCAGTGAGTACGAGGTTGACAGAGATGAGAGTGAGAAAAAAGCAAACCGGCGAGAGGAAGAAGGCAAGGATGTATCCACTGCATGCTGTTGCTGCTGTCCAGCACAGCCTATCTGAGGCTATCAGGCCTATCAGCTCATCTCCCTGCAGTGCTGTAGTCAGCACTAATCACATTTTATGGCTCTGAGATGAATGGAAGGCCTCGGCTTGGAGCCGGATCGATCCCAGGGCCAGATAGACCAGCACCAGCAGTCTGCATTCTGGGCCAACAGGATATTTGCTGCTGTGGTAAAATGACAGGCAGAGTGTGAGAGATAGACAGAGAGATAACAAGCGGGGAGAGGAACACAGGACAATACATGACAAAAGATTGCTAAGTATCATGTATGTGATCACACTATTTACAGTGGCGCGTGCAGGACTGAGCTTACAGGCGAACAAACATTTTCTTTGCACACTTCCACGCCCTCTCTCTCTCGCTCTCCATAGGCAAGCTTCTTTCTTGAAATCTGTTTCTTATCTGTCCAATTTCCTTCTTGAAAGAGGCCTTGTGTGAATTTAATCTACTCCACTGGAAGGTGTTGTGGTTAAGTGCTGCCTGTGCAATTTGCAGTGTGTGTGTGCATAGACAGGCGCTGTGATTAGATTGCCTGTATGCCTGGATTAGTCAGAATTCACAAAAAGCTTTTCTTTACATCCTAATGGCGGTAATAATGCTATGATTTGAAACCCCAAAAATAATAAAAATAAAACTAGAAATTAAACCGGCAAAGCACAACAATAAATAAACCTAGTAAGTGTAGCTATGTTGGGAGAGGCTGTGCTATAGAGATATCACTGGGTTCCAGGGGAGAACTGGGCTGTTGGAGTGTTTCATCCAGCTAAGCCTTGCTAACTCTCAGCCTGAGCCAGGGGAATGGGGAACAGTAAAAGCCCGTGATATTGGAAGTGAGATGGCCATTTTGAAGGAATGTAAGCTGGTGAAACAGATTTGGTCTGCCTCAATCAGCTTAGCAGCTTTGTGGAAATTGGCTTCACCGTTGCACCGGTTATGATGGATGGCTGGATGGATGAATGTCCCTTTTTTGTATGTCCTTTCTTTTATGTGTTTTTTAGAGCCACTCACTTACCCCAAAAAGCTCGGGCCCATTTTAGTAACATGACCGGGACACTATTTGAGGTTTTGCTTGGTTTGGCATATTTTCTCTGGGAGAAGCAAAAAAACAACAACACTCCAACAGATGAATTGGTTAAAGTCTCCACTGTGCAACCAGGAGAAAAAACCACCATGTGAAAATTCAGCCGCCAGACAAACAGTTGTCACAACTCTCATTAACTATTTCATTCACTGGCAAACAATGTTAGCACAACCTAGCAACTGCTACTAGTAGTATTCTGTAACACGTTTCCCAGTTCTTTGCCCAGAGGAATGTTAGTCTGAAGGAATGTTTGGATCGACTGGATAGAAGGTGTTCAGGCTGATATCTGAATGCATCAAAGATATCTGAGATTGGCGTTGTTGACTGGGGTTTCTCCAGTTTTCTTTACTACATTCAACATGAAAGAAAGCATGTTATGACAGGCTGAAACCAGTGGAGAGGAGGGATAATATGTAGCAGAAGAGATCTGATGTATGGAGTCATATTCAACAATGAGCTTTTTTTTCTTCTTCTTGTCATCATCGTAGCTGCTTTTTCCCTCTTGGAAACAAACCATCCACTTGTCATGGTCATCCTGCAAAGATATGGTTGCTGTAAACAAACATTGGTTCTCTAAGCATGTCGACATTTAGCCAGTGATGACTTTGCCTTGATTCATGCCACTCACAATGTATTTGGGATGAGAGGGCCCTCATTTCATTTACTCATTAACGTCACCTTTAAAAAAAGTTTTGCTGAAGTTTTGCGGAGCCCTCTGGCCTTAACCTACAAAATGTCACTCAAAGAGAAACGCACCAACCGGGGACAGGCTGAAGTGAGGGACCCAAAATGACTACAAAGAATCACAAATTGACTATAAAAGCACCAAAGCAACTACAAACAGATTCAAAGCAGGTGCCGAAAAACACAAAGACCCTTTGTAACGATGTGAAACTAAATTATTCCATATAGACTCAAAGCAACTACAAAGAGGCTCAAAATGACCACAAAGAGTCCCAAAACAACTACATATAAATGCTAATGAGCTACAAAATAGCCGAAGCAAATCAGAACGCGCCACAAAGACTCAAAACTACGAGAAGACACTAAAAGACCACAAAGATGAACGGAACCGCAGAGAGATGAGTAACGACTACAAAGAGACAGGAAATGACCACACGGAGAGACGGAATAACAATAAAAAGAAGCTTAACTTAAAATGAACGTCTGTGTCTTAGTCGGGGGGGCTTTTGCCAACACGTGTCCACGGGCCCATTGTCTCTTAATCAGTACATGGGAGCAATAGACCTGAATAACTTTCATGAATACACATTTTAAACAGATCCTCCCAGTCTGATCAACCATACACACGTCTTCCATGATATTTCGCTGTGGACGTCGGCGGACGTTGCCCGATCCCAACAGCCAGCACTGTTTCATTTCAACTCCGACCCGCGTTACGAGCGGGAACCAGTGGATGAGTCGATACGACACCCCATTGGGCGAGTTGATATGCCGTTCCATTCTGCTGCAGGGGTGTGCTTGATGTCAGCCTCCGTGAAGGGCACGGCTGTGAGCTATTATCATAGGAGCCTTCAGGGAGCCATTCAGAGGAGACAGGCAGTAAAGCCGTGCGCCGAGTGCCTTCAACTCCTCCAGCTCTTCCAACTGCTGCAGGGGTGATTTGTAAGCCTCACTTGTCCAGGGGAAGCGCGCGGTTCTCCATAATCAGGAAAGAGGGCGAGTTGACGCAGAGTAGGACATGTGTTAATCGGAATCCCGAAAGAGCCGGCTGCTTCAGACAAACGCGCACCTCTTTAAATTCATCCTCCGAGATGTTTGAGTCGGACGGCACATAAAGTTAAACATAGAATTGGATGTTAAAACTATTACACGGCCATTATGGATCTTGTCTCTGGGATGCTAATCAACCCGTTTACTTTATTGCAGCTTCTGTCAGAAACGAACTAGAATCCATTCTGTGAATTATTTAAATGTTCCATCTGATACCACATGTCACGATGCCTAATTGGGTTTAAAAGGCCTTCAAACATCCTCTACAATATGTCATTTTCTAAACGTGCAATTTACTTATCAGTTTGAGAGATTCATCATTAATATGCTGACATATTGTGCCAAAGCAGAGAAAAACAAATAAAGTAAAGGAGAGCGAGTGAGTGGGAGAAAGAGAGAGACAGAGAGACGGGGTGAGAGACGGGTAGTGGATGTGATGCGCGTTGGTTTCTTCCATCCAGAAGAGACCGAAGCAGGATGAGAGAGTAGGAGGAGGATAAGGAGGAGTGGTGCATTTACAAGAAATGACTGGTTCATACACACAGTACATGTCCCTCCCTCCCATTGGCCGCACTTCTGGGAAGTCAGCTGCTGGTTGTTGTGTGTAACATCAATGCCAGCCTGCATAATAGCACTGCTTCCTCAGCTCTGGACAGTGTTGTCCGGCGTGGTAGGCCTATGTCTGCCCTGTCTTGCGTGGATCAACCCATGGCACCTCAACCCCGCTCCGCCGACGCGTGGAGGGACCCTCGCCTCCCCCATGTCCGCTCCACCTCCACCGCCGCCTCCCCCCCTCCCTTGTCCTTCCATGTCTCCGCCGTCGTGTCTGTGTTGTGATGTCCTTCAGCAGTGACGGATGGGAGAAGAGGACAGGCGGGTCTCTAGCGAGCACCATTGGATGAATGTGGGCTAATCATTGCTGGCGTGGCGCGCACGTGACCGAGAGGCCGCGGACAGCTGGTTGCTGGCAGTTTTTTTCCGTGGCAGGACCACATCGGGTCTACCCGTGGGAGGCTGTAAAGCTCCAGTATTCGACTCCTGCCTTTCTACAAAGTACCCATAAGGTCAACAGCAAACACAAGGCGAGGACTCGTGCGTACTCACGAGGATGCACACTGTCAAACTGGCACGCGCACACAAGCCCTTCTACATGCCTGTCGACAGGTCTGCTTGTCTCAGCGTCCATGTTTAGTTTACCCCTTTGCCTTTTCTTCCCCTTCTGCCTTTGCAGCATGTGGCACAAGGTAGATAGGCATGTTTGCTGCGCTTGTGGTCTTCTTCTTTTGGAAGTTCATTCTTTAAGCCTCCCCTCTCTACAGCCTCCAAAGGTGAGGCATTGGCTTCTCTGTGACTCTGCCAAAGGGATTATTTCACTTCACAAACGCACCACGACGAGCCCAGAAAGTTTAGGATCCCAGTTTCAATCCCCGGAAGGAACTTATGGGAAAGACTTGTGTGGTTGTTGAAAGACATACGAGACATCAGACAGTTGTGTCAGGGAGCGTAGGGTATCTTAAGTGACCTTGTTCTGTTAAGACGAACCAAGGCATCCTTCCTTATTGTCAATTCTGATGCTCCCCAGATC